ATCAGCTGCATGTCAATGTACTGGGCGACCACCACAAATCAATCCAACCAGACTGAAAAAAAAAAAACATTATTCACGCTGGCTCCTCTCAATCACATGCACAAGGGTCATTGTTCCTACCTTACCATTTCAAAGATGGTAGCAGTTAGTTCGACCATCATCCTGCCTCTCCCGCAAAATTAGCTATTTGACCAGACTACCTCGACTAACACGACCGAACTAGCCGCCTCTGCCAACACAGTCAACAGGACTGTTTCATCCAGCACGACCGACGGAACTGCTAAAACACCTCTAAAGGTAGCAGAACAGAACCAATTGATGACGAGGAGTCAAAAATACCTTCTGACAATAGAAATGCACAATGAATGGCAAGTTGTTAGCAAGGAAAAGAAAAAGATTTAAAACACAAACACAAAGGAACAACGAGGACGGGACACAGCCCGATGCTAAGGTCTCCGTTAATTCCATTACTGTTGCCGCCAAAAATTCGATTGATTACAAATTCGTACCCTTCTTTTGTCACATTTTATTCAGGCCTTTTGTTCTGCGCGCATAACTTTCATCAATATTCTGTTACTCTTTCCTGAATAATTTCCTTTTGTTTATGTAGCTTTTATTAGTTCTTCACCGCGTATTTTATTTATTCGTATAAACCGTTTAACTATTTGAACCGCCTAACTGTTTATACCGTCTCTATCAATCGCTCTACGTCGCTTTACGTCGCTTTACATCGTCCGTTAAGTTGGCAGTTGACCCAGATTTCGTGCGACGTTTGTAAGTGTCTTTTGTTTTCCTTTAATTTTATTTTCTCGTGTAGTAATTTCTTTACCTTGAATTGTGACAACTGTAACTTGTAATCTATTTCTTGCAACCGGTTTCATATTTATTACTTAACTTCGTTTCGTTTAGCCATTTTGGAAGAGAAGTTCGACATCTAACGAGCATTTTTGGCCACAACACCGATGTACAACCCTATCAATTGGAGCTTCCTTAATAAAGACAAATACATGTTGAAGAAAGCTAGAAAAAGCCGTTGGCCATCGAGCAGTGGTCAAATTATTCTGTTGGGCCACCACAAAAGCTATGAAGGACAACCTCAAAGCTAACCTGGAGCATTCGCCGGACTAAGACGTTCTCTATGTCGGCTCCGATAACCTTAAACATAAAAACAGTTGCAAGATGCTGAATCGATCGTGGACAAATCGCAAATTTATCCGACGCCAACTCCACTATATCTAAGCTTAATTCTACAAGGGATGCATTCAATGGAACAGTGAAAGATGCGAATAAACATCTAAAGAGCTAATGCCGTCAGAATGGATGGGAACTTATCCAGCATACAAAGATCAAAGAGAATGGCCTAACCAAGGGAGGACTGCATCTTAGTTATAAAGGTAATCAAAACATTTTTAATAACTTTAACGTGCTCTCCGCAGATTTTCTGCTTGCTCGGTGTATTAAATCCAACTGTGAATCCCGTATACTGAGTGAAAGCGGTAGGGAGGGTCTAACATAGGTTTGGCAGGATGCAGGATGAAGCTCAAAGTCGAGGCGGGATGTGGGACACGAGATTCTTCAAAGGCGAGATGCGGGATGAAGATAGGAAGGCGAGACCGGGACATACTCCGATTCGAAGGCGGGATAGGGGTTGGGACGGGTATAGGCGAGCTCATAAAAAGTATTTCTTTGCCTAAGAAACGGGCTTGATTTATAATTGAGGTTGACAGGCCTAAATGATTCCTTAGTGCGTCAAGTTTCTCTGTATTAGCTACAAATGTTTACACGAAACTCCATGGTATGTTCGGTTTTCTCGCCCTCGTTATCATTTTTCTCTCACAAGTATGTCTGAGTGAACACTTCTTTCTGCACGATATTATCGGTTCTTGGAGGATTTCTCTTAGCAATGGTTGTTGCTGTAATAAATGCCACATGCTCATAAGGATTTTATACGGTTTGTTGATTTGGAACTGTTGGATAGTATTGTCGGTCAGCTAAGGAAAGGGCTCGACCTTTATTACAAATGATGTATTTCTGTTCTTAAAATACGATGGAAACTACAATTGATATAATTTTCATACGATAAGAAAAACGCAAATGTAGTCATGTGGAAAGACAAGGAGTATGCGTACATCTCAGGCGCGTGAAATAAACAACAATAAGGAGCTCACCATTCATCGCTTACGAAATGTCAGCCAAAGAGAATGTAGAATAGTGGTGTACGGTGTGGGAACAGGCCCTCTTATCAGCATTTTTTATGACTGAAATCATTATGATAATGATGATAATAATAATAATAACAAAATTTATATAGCGCTATTTCCACTTAGCCCAATGGTGCTTTACAATAAAAAAAATAGAAAAGTAAGTCTATCCTACTTATGATGAACAAATATGTAAATATACGCTTTAAGAATATCTAATTAAGCACTATTGAAAACGTATGAATCTCTTGCGAGGTCCATATGTTGCTAAGAAAAATAAAAAATGACAATAATTGTAAAATATAAATTTAAAACATTTTAAAAGTTATAAAGTGATGGATATAAATCTACTATATGAGAATTCTAATCAAATTTTGTGAAATCAAAATGTTCCAATGGATAGATAAAGTATAATGAATAACGATAACGATCCTATTCTATCACGCACACACACACACCTATACACACACACACACACACACACACACACACACGCACACACACGCACACACACACATATATATATACGTAGGTTAAAGAATTAAAGAGGACGCATCGACGATTCTCTGTGACTCACAGTCACAGAGAATCGATGCGTCCTCTTTAATTCTAGAACTTATGTATACTTAGCTCTGCTACCACAGCGTTAAGCACTTTATGCCAAGGTAGAATCTAACCCCATTTTTATATATATATATATATATGTATATTTAGTGTCTCTAAATGTTTTGTTAAAAAGAAAGGTGTTAATGACGGTTTTAAAATTATTTATACTGTCACATTGTCGTGCTTTATCGGAAGTGAACACCATAATTTTGGGGTGGCACTTATAAAGGACCGCCCACCATAACGCTTTAGTTCTTCAGGTGACGGGACTTTTAAAAGATTTTATGTAGTGTGGCGCTAAACCATTTAATGCTTTATATGTTTATAACAGCAGTGTAAACTCTAGCCTTTGTCTGACAGGAAGCCAGTGCAATTGGTGTTGTGTGATCCGACTTCTCACTTTCTGTTTTCAATCGTGCTGTAGAGTTGTGTACATTTTGGAGGTGATAAAATAGGAATTGGGCAAGTCCATATAGTAGAGAGTTACAGCTGTCGAGCTTGCTGAAGATAAAGCATGGATCAAAATTTCATTGTCTAATTTCGACAGACAGTTTCTTATTTTCGCTATATTACGTAAATGATAAAACGATGATTTGCACATGTATGCGGCGTGCCTCCCCAGGGAGATTTTCTGATCAAAGATAGCACTAATATTTCTTGCAGAAAAAGAGGGCTCGACCCGATCCGTGTTTACTTTTTCATTCATTCATTGGTTGAGGACGATGTTGTGCATTCAGCACAAGAAATTCTGTCTTGTCTTGGTTTAGTTTAAGCTTATTTTGTACCATTCATAAATCAATCTTGCTAAGACATGCCTCAGTGCATTCTAAAGAGGCTTTTTGTTCACCGGGTATGGGTTTGAAAGCAAAATAAAGTTGAGTGTCGTCTGCGTATAAGTGATATCTCATTCCATGACGCTTGATGACGTCGCCAGGTGGGAATGTATATAGTGCACACAGCATTGGGCCAAATACGGATCCCAGGGGCACTCCACGTCGCAAGTCTTTGTTGTTAGACTTGACTCCATCAATCACAACGTACTTTTTGCGGTCATGGTGGTAGGACTCCAGCCAATTCAGCACTTTTCCTTTTATTCCGAAACGTCTGGAGAGCTTCAGGCTAGTTAAAAGCAGCTTCTGATCAACCGGTTATCTTCCCCTGATTTGACATCTACATCCTTTGGAAAGCAGTGTCTAGAAATACCCGGTAGATGCGTATTACTCTTGTAGCTATCATATAGCGCTCCGGCCATGCAATACGTTTGTCCTTTCCTCTTGATTTCCCCTTTGTCCACCATAGTTACCAGCGTGTCTTCACAGTTTTCCACGTCACAGCTATGTAACTTGATTGTTTTGGCCGACTCTTGAGGCTGCCAAATCGTACTTTCGATGCACAAAAATTGGTCTATTCAGGAGACCTCGCAAGGCACTAAACTGGATTATTTTAATTTTAAATACAGCTATTAACCAGAAGATGCGAAAAAAGAATTCGTGTCACATGCACCTCGAAACAGGGATCTATACCTTTTAGCAAGTTAAAAATGGGGCCATATATAAATCTCCAACGAAATAGAGTTACACTAAGTCTTCGAGTCCCAATCAAGCCCATAACCCTTGAAACTACAAGGTTTCAATGATGCGAGAGGTCTGAGAACTATACCGGCATGACCCCTTGAACGAAATCTACAACAGGGTATCGGGTTGAACAGCTGTTTTGTCGTGATGAGGTTGGCATCGTAACAATCGTAATTTAGGAAGAATCTTTTCGTTAAGTCTCTTGCTTTTTCACGAAAGCAAAGTTGAAGTTCTTAACTCCGAGAATGGGTTATTTTTGGTGGAAAAATCAGCATCTTTCCAAAGTGCCGGAGGGTTGCTCACATAGGCCGTGTTTACACTTGGGATTTTTACCGCGGTAAAAGAGTTTACTTACCTAGGTAAATTTTTGGTCAATGTAAACATCAATCAATACCTCAGTAAATGCGGCAAAAGACAAAGGAAATTTAACCACGGTAAAAGCGATAATAATGCAGTGATTTGGCTTGGTTTAGCTCGGTAACCGAGGTCAAATTTACAGATACATCCGGTTGCGGTGAAGTTTTTTGGATTTATCGCGAGTTCAAGTTTCCTTGACACGTTTCATGTTTTATTCGCGGAGTTCAGGCTTTCTTTGCGCCACGTTTCGTGCTCTAGCAAAATGGAACAAAATAAGGACACATTTTTGAATTATTACGGCAGTCAAACCGAAAGGTAAGCGATGTATTACGTCTCCCTTTCAAAACACTCACACTTTTTTTTATCCGGATAAAACAGATTATTTATTTGTTTTCCGTTTTTTTCCAGGCAAGTCCACAGCAACAATATTCGCGAATGAGCGCGACGTATTTCCCTTACTACCCGCAACCTCAATATGCTGTGCCGCCGTTCTATGGCTCTCAATTGCAAGGAGCGCAAGAAATTCACTCATCTTCAGTACGACCCCATTCTGATCTGCCTGGCTCGCAATAGCAAGAGAACAACCACAGCAGCAGTAGCAGCACTGGTCCAAAAAAAAGGAAAAATCGTTGGACAGACACTGAAGAAAAGATCTTGGTGGAGCTGTTTGGAGAAAATGAAGATAAGCTGCGATACAAAGCCTTCAGCTCCCCTGAATGGCTGTCGATTGCTCGCCAGCTTCACTCGCGGTGCAAGGAACAAAACGTAGACAGCGACAAAACGCCACAACAGTGCAAGAACAAATTAGCAAATTTGACAAAGAAGTATAAAGACACCAAAGACAAGCTTCGGTCGGCAGGATACGGCAGAGGGGGCGATGTGCCGTCCGACAATGAAAGTGAAGAAAGTGAGGAGATCATACCGAAACCTTTCAACGATATGGATGAAATTCTCGGTAAAAGGGAATCCATCAACCCACGCCACGTGCTCGAAAGCTCTCACGTCCCCGATAGCGAGTCACCGGAAATGTCGGAACTCGAACGCGATATCCTCGAGAAAGATGCCCTAGATGAGGAAATCTGCCGAGCTGCACAAAAACAAAGGCAAAGGACTGCCCAGAATGTTTCTCCTCCATCTGAGTGCACGGTGCCTTTTGATGGAGATGAATCCGATAACGACCAGTCGCTTGCCTTTGCAGAATCCCTCTTTGTTAAGAGGAAAGGCAAAAATAAAAAGCCTTTGGCAAGCACACCGGTACCGAGGAGGCGCGAGGTTGATGTGGGAAAAAAGCTACCAAGAAAGCGCGCCGCTGATGCAGCGGAAAGGCCATCGAAAAAAAGGCGCAAAATGAAGGGAAAAGCCGGATCATCTGGAGTAGACGAGCCAACCTTGATATCATTTCTTGAACGCTCACAAGAAAGGGACGAGGCTTTTATGGAGCGGATGGCTGAAGCCCAGAGAGAATACAGGAAAGATCAGCAGAAGTTTTCCATGGATGCCCTTGCTATGCTCGGAAACATCCTCAAGGACGTTAGTAAAGGAAACGAATGAACACCCGTTGTTTTTTTTTTGGTATTTTTATTGTTGTGTTCTGTTGTCACGAAATAGTGGATCCATTAATACAATATCATTTATTAATTAGCTGAATGTCGTGTTAAAAAGATTTTGGATAAAAAAACGTTTTTGGATACATGCTGATCAACTTTTAGTGATCACAAATCAAACCAGAGATGTTAACATCCGGTATTTTAAAATTATGAATAATTGTATTCGATCGTATACTCTTTAATCAATCAATTTATGTTTTTAAATAATTGCTCAAAATCGCTGTGTCTATAATTTGTAAACAAAACAATTGAGAACTTTGTTAACTTTCAAAACTTTAAGGAATATTTACATGTACATGTGTACAAACTTGAGCTACAATGCTAGTTTTTCGCGAAAATAAAGAAAATGACATGAGTAAGCGATATATATATATTCCCTTAGCTCCGGTTGGAGCATAGGCCATTAACCACTTCCGTCCTCCATCGGGTTCTGTCCTGGGCAAAACTTCCTAAAGTGGCCCAAGTGTGGCCCCAGTTTCTCATTTGGGACTCTACACCTCTTCTCCAGGAGTTCCTGGGACGACCCCTCTTTCTCTTGCCCTGGGGGTTCCAACGTAATGCCTGCCGGGTGATGTTGTTAGCCGGTTTCCTTAGGATGTGACCTATCCATCTCCACTTTCTCTTTGAGATCTGAGTTATGATTGGTTCCTCGCCTGCTAATTCCCACAGCATTACGTTCGTTACCCTGTCAGTCCAACTGATTTTTAAAATTCGCCTAAGGCACTTATTGACGAAGGTCTGCAATTTCTGGGACGTTTACTTAGTTGTTCTCCACGTTTCTGAGCCATAGAGGAGGACTGCTTTGACATTGATGTTAAAAATTCTAAATTTGGTTCTCCGTGAGATGACATGGGAGGACCACACTTTCCTCAGCGTATTGAAAGCTACTCTGGCTTTGTTTATCCTGACCTTGATATCTTCATCGGAGCCTCCGTCAATGCTGACTACACTGCCTAAGTAGACAAAAGATGTTACTTCCTCCAAGATGGTATCCCTCACTTTAACTGGTCTGTTGTTGGTGCAATTGACCTTCATAACCTTGGTCTTATTCACATTCGGATGCAGGCCTAACTTGATGGAATTAGCTGTTAGCCGTGCTGTTTTGTCCTGCATTTGTTGGTTGTTACTTGACACCAGGGCGATATCATCAGCAAACTCTAGATCTTCAAGTTGCTCCAATAAGTTCCACTGGATCCCATTTCGCTGTTCTCTAGTTGTTTCCTTCATGATCCAGTCCATAGCAAGTAGAAACAAAAACGGTGCCATCAAACAACCTTTCTTGACCCCAGTGTTGACCGTGAAGCTATCTGACAATCCACTAGCATGAAGGACTCTGCAAGTCATCTTATCATAGGAATTTTTGATGATTCGAATGAATTTCCCCGGTATGCCATAGTGTCTCATAAGGCACCAAAGAACACTTCTATCGAGGCTATCAAAAGCCTTTTCAAAGTCGATGAAATTAACGTAAAGAGAAGTGTTCCATTCAAATGACTGCTCAATGATTATCCTAAGTGTGGCTATTTGGTCGATACAGGAGTGGTCCTTCCTGAAGCCAGCCTGCTGATCTCTCAGTGTAGCATCCACAGCCCCTGAAGACGAAGCAAGATAATTCTGTTCAGCACCTTCCTGCCGCTGACATCAAGGATATACCTCTGTAATTCTTGCACTCCCGGCGGTCACCTTTCTTTGGCAGTTTTACAATGTAGCTCTCGTTCCAGTCCTGGGGCATCTCCTCCTCTTCCCATATCTTTCCAAGCAAGCCATAGAGGATATCTGCTGATAGGTCGGGGTCAGCTTTCAGGGACTCTGGAGTTATGTTATCTGGGCCAGCTGCTTTCCCTGACTTAAGCATCTTGATAGAGCGCACAATCTCTATTTTGGATGGCTTCCCGCAGTTCACATTCAGCTCAGCTGAAGCCTCCGGTATTATTGGAAGTTCTGGCGTAGGAGGACGATTGAGGAGATCATTGAAGTATTGTGCCCACCGCTTAAGCTGCTCATCTTCCCTAGTCAAGATATTACCTTCTTTGTCCTTTACTTGGCTGCTAGTCTGTTGAAATTTACCCGCCAACTTCCTGGTGGTATCATAAAGGTCCTTCATATTGCCATGTGCTGCAGCCTCTTCTGCCTTCGTCGCTAGGGTATCATAATATTCCCTTTTATCTTGTTTGATCTTACGCTTTACTTCACTGTTTGCTGCCTCATACCTCTTGTGTGCCTCTGGCTTTTCTCTCCTTGTCCTGCTTCTGTTGTACTCTTCCTTCAGATGTTTTCTTTTGCTGATAGACCCCATGGTTCCTGGTGTAATCCATTCCTTGTGCTCAGCTGTCTTGGTCCCTACAATGCTAGTTTTTCGCGAAAATAAAGAAAATGACATGAGTAAGCGATATGTCTCCATTTAAACTTTGATCCACGTCATCTCCCAATGTCTATGGGGCTAGGGTCTCCCACATCGACACAAATATTGTGAAGAACACAGCATGCCAAGATCGTGATGGCCACTCTACTTGTCTTTTCTACCATTGCCTTGTAAAGGCACCTCCATTGCCCTTTCAAGATTCCGTAGGCCTGTTCGATAACAACACGGGCTTGACTGAGAGCACGATTAAACCGCAGTTGTCGTTCACTTAACGTACGTGTTTGCTTAAAGGGCTTCATTGACCAAACAGATAAGGGATATGCTGAGTCTCAGACAAGCAAAGGTCTAATTTCGGAACCAGAAATTTGTTTTGTAGGCCCGTTCAGCCAGTTGCCTTGTTCAATTTCCCTGTGCAGATTGCTTAAACGAAGAACACGCGCATCGTGAATGCTACCAGGAGAGCCTGCACTTATGTCGAGAAATCGAAATGACGCGTCAGCAACACCTTGAATCACAACAGAATAATCTTGCTTTCGGTTGAAGTAATCAATTCGCTCGTCCACAGGCACTGTCTTCAAAGCAATATGACAACCGTCAATAGCCCCTACTACTTGGGGAAATGGAGACTTGTTTGTAAACAATCTAATACTTTGTAGCACCTCTTGTTCGGTTTCTGGAAGTTTGATGAATTCTTTAGCACGTTTAGCATTAGCATTGCAAAAATCCTTATTTATCAACATGGCCGTGCACCGTCCAATACCGAATTGTAGTCCTGTAGATCGGTATGTGTCGCCCGTTGCTAGCCGCCATGATGTTACCGCTAGTCGCTTGTGCACTGGGATAGATTGCCGCAGTCTGATGTCTTTCTTCGCCATCTCCGGCTATCTTAGGTTCAGTTAACTTGACCTCGGTCAATTTAAACCGCAGTAAACGTTTGAATGTAAACACGGCAATAGAATGTTTATCTAAATCACTGCGCGTACTCCTCTGTTCTGGAAATCTTGTACGGTGTCGGTTGACTCTTGACTTGGGGCGCATTTTGAAGTAAAGATTTGACGCTGTTAGGGTTTTAAGCTGGTGATGGGAGGGTCCTAATGAAGCGAGGACGACCTCACGAGGACGAAGACCTTGAAGAAAAAAGGATATCGAGTTAGTTCCCTCCAGTTTACAGTTTGTGGCCGAGGGCGAAGGTTGGGGAACGTATGGACATTTGGTGAGCCAAACGAGGCGAGTTATCTTATGTTTGATTTATCTTAAATTTATTCGTACAAACATTCAAATTCTTAAAACACAAGAGTTTATGTGTTGTTTCAACATGCCCCCCCTTTCCGCCCTGTACAACCCATGTGCATTTGACTGTCGTCCGTGCCCAGGGAGTAAGGAATTAAAAAACCTTGCCCTCCCGAGGTGGTTAATTTGAACCGGAGGTGTCAAGTGTTTCTAAAGGGAATACAAGTGTTTCATTTTTAAGGTCAAGGAGTTAAAGGGTATTGAGCTCGCTTTTGTGAAAGAATAGAACATTCTTAAAGATGGGTAAGGAGCGTGTTGCCATGATCTTAATAGTTATCACTGGTTTTACAGAAGTTTAAAGACCACATTTAATAGTGGAGATACAAGTAGATTTGCTCTCACACTGCAGTGATGCACTCTGTATGAGAGGCATCTGCATTGTTATGAAACGTGACCATTTTTTGTGTAAGGCTGTACACTGTACCTTCTTTTTTTTATCACTAATTAAACAAGTTTCAAAGTCTTTTTAAAATAGTCAAATAAATTGCTTCTTAATGAGTGGAAAGTCATGTTCCCTGATCTTGCTTTCTACAAAACAAATAAGTCCACACTACTTTTGTGTGTCTTGGACAAGATGAAATTGCATGGTTACAGTTATTCTATGCCATAGGTCTACTTTGAAGTTATGCTGAATGCATGTCAATGGTTACACCAGTGTGCTAAAGTTCACTGATTTTCAAAGAAGTTGTTTGATAGCCTGTTTAACAATTAGACATTGAGTTGTGAGTTTTCTAAGCAAATAAACCTTTTTAGCCATGTGGTCACATGGTTTGAAATGGGTAAACAAGAATTAAAAATGACTGCCAAAGTATTTGCTTCAGATGACATCTTATAGATGAAACTGCCTCTTGTATTGCTGAGACTCTCATTTTCACAGATAAATCAGCATTTTAAAGACTGTGGTATTAGAAATCAGCAACAAAGGAAATTGAGTTTTTAATTAAGATTACAAATACCTCAAGCTGGAAAGACAAACTTTCGAGTGAATGATCCTTCAAGGTGGCAATATGCAATATTCCAAAGACAACAAATGCTCTGTTAACATAGAGTCATACTACCCCTGGATAGCCTGCCTTAAGTTTTACTTGAATCCATGTCTGGAAATTTTTATCTTCAATATAAATTTATGGCATTTTCCCTCTCTTTCTTTGCCCATTTGGAGGACTTAAACAAGCTTTTTTGCCCAGTCTTTTGGCATTTTCTGCTGTGGCCAGAACCACAGCTACTTAATGCCATCATGAATTTGGCACTTTGATCTTGAAAATTCCATGGCATTTAAAGCAGGCTCTCCCAAAGGGGAATGTAAAGAATAAAAAGGACCACTAGGCGAAGATATGTACGAAGTTGTAAGTGTGTCAGAAAGGATTGCCACTTTCAGACAAGTTTGGTATTAACTAAATTTCTTCATGATATACAATTTGTTCCTTAATAGCCTCAAGTCTCCAAGTAGGGAGCTAGATTGGGTGGGTGCATTAATTTCTCATCTACATGTTTGGCCTGAATTAGAAATGCTTTGCTGGTTGGTTAACTTGAACCTTCTTTGCTTTTGTGTCTTTCCAGTCTCCCAGAGTAACCATGCAGTACTTGTTTCCTCTCCTAGAAGTCTATTCCAAGTAAATTTGTAATTAATGATAATAAAAGCTTATTATACTAGTTATCAGGAAAGTATAGACTAAATTACGAATAAAATTAAATAGAATTACAACTTGCTTTAAAAATCAACATGTGTACAAACTATTGAAAATTGAAATTTTTGAGTAAAAATATGGTGGTCTGTGATGATTTCTTTGATGGCTAACAGTTCCATGATAAAACTGTAACACAGTGGAAGCCACAAAACAGGGAATCACTTTCACATCATGACATTTATGTTTTGGACACTGAATCCAAACCAGAGAATTGATGCACTAATTTCAGTTCTGTGTAACTTAACATTATGAGGGTGGAGTGCAACAATTCCACAAAAACCCTGGGCAGGCAGTCATCCCTTTTATTGGCCAAAATTCTTGTTGCAAGTCAAACCGGGAATTCTTGTCAGGGGGACAAAATCTGTGTTGCTTTGCTGAATCTCCAGCTTGGATAGCGTGGTGTAAGATGGCTATCAAGTTCTTTTTCATGGTGTAAACAGCTACATTTATGATGATGATGATGATAAATTTATTTCTGTGTCATGAAAAAATAGCAGTCAATAACCACTAAGTAAAGACACCTGAAATTAGTATCATATATATAAAAAACCAGAGTGTAATATGAATCTAAAAGGTTTATCGAAAATGTAGCTACTTGTATGTGTTACTATATCTATTTACAAAATGAACAATAACAATCACTTCTAATTATATCCTCAAGGTTTAGCTTTCCTACAGATCTCTTTAAAGATGACAATGATGGTGAATTCCAAAGGTTTCAGAGAACTTTGCGCACAACACCAGTCCAATGTATCGTACAGAGTACTTGCCATAATAAATGGTGTTGAAGCGTGGGATTTCAATTTCTTTAATTCTAAGATTGTATTTGGATCGATTTTTGACAAATAGATCAGAATTATATGTTGGGAAAATGTCATACTTCACTTTGTACATTATTATGGTTATGTCTAGCAGTCTTCTATTTCTAAGGGTTGGTAGATTCGCCCATTTTAACAACTGTTCGTATGATGTGTTCCAATCACAATAGATGGCTCTCAAAGCATGTTCTTGAATGCGCTCAAGTTTATGGGCGTCAGTACATTTACAGAAATGCCAAACAGTGCTGAAGTACATCATGTGTGGTAGAATTGCTGCCTTATACAGTGCTAACTTGGCATTTGTTGGTATAAGCTTTAGTAGCCTCGTAACAACTCCTACTTGTCAGCTGGTCTTTTTACATATTTCACTGATGTGATTAGTGAATGACTGCTGTCAATATTTGTTCCCAGCAGTGTTATTTCTTGGTAGGGGATTACAGCAGTTCCGTTAATGTGCATATCAATACTTGTTTCCAGTTTGCCTTTTCCTATAGGCATACTACCATACTTGGAAAAGTTTCCCTGTTGAAAGTTCACCTTATACCAGTCAGTGGCAACAACAGCACTGTCCTGCAGCTTTTGCTGTACAATTTTTACATCCTTGTGTGTTTCGAAGAATTGATAATCATCTGCCTACATGCTGATGCTTGACTTTGCTACATATGTCAAGTCATTTTGATATATCTTCCATAATAAGGGTCCAAAAGATGATCCTTGGGGACACCCCCTATCCACATGTTTCCACAAGCTGGTAGTGTTACCCAGTTTTACCCTGTTGTACTGGTGTGTGAAGAAAGACTCCATGGGTTTCAGACTCTGCTTGTCAAAATTGTAGGCTTCAATTTGGATAACACTAGTGGTTGGTACATACAATCGAATGCCTTCCTCATGTCTGTCGAAAGTAGGTCTAACTGTGCTCTCCACTGCTTGCCTCCATTGTTCTGTTAACATCAATGATGTGGTTTCACAATCATTCCACTTTCTATACACATTTACAAGTATTCACTCATTGAGTCTTTCAGACAGGTGTTAACTTGTTTTGACAGTAGTTGTTCAAATATTTTGTTTAGTACGGTTTAAACAGTCACAGGTCTATAATTTTGCCTGTCCAATGGATCATCTTTCTTGTAGACAGGAGTCCATTCTCTTTTCTTCCAATCCTTTGGCTAATACCCTTGCTGTATACAGGCATTATATAGGGTTGTCAGTTGTAAAGACGGCTCTTCCACACCAAGTTTTAAAGCTATTGGCAATGTGTGATCCCAGCCAGTTGCTTTTTGAGGGTTTAATTCCCTTAGCAGCTGTTCCACTTCCTTAACCTCCAGCTTCTTAAATCTGAAAGGCTGGCAATCAGCTGGTGGGTAATTCCTGATCAGCACTGTTATTGTATCCACTGACACCACCAATGCCATTTGCTATCGTTGCAAAATATTCACCAAGTTCTTCCACAATTTCTGTCTGATCTTTAGAAATATGATCTTTGGTGTCCAGTTTCATGTTCATGTCATGCTTGCAATTACTCCTAGATCCTAAATATGGTGTGAAAGTCTCGAAGAAGTCATGTGGCTTATGTTTCAATTCTTCAGCTTTTGTTCTCCAGTATTCTCTAATTGCCTTGCGCCTTAGTCTTGTTGTCTTATTTCATAATCTTCATTGGAGTTCATAGTCTTCTGGTGCCTTTGTTTTCCTATATCCTTGTAGCTCTTCACCAAGCTCTAATGGCATTCTTCCACTCTGTAGTCATGTAAGGGACATCCCAATCTCTCACTCGCATCTTCTTGTAGGGCATATGTTTGTCAACAATAACTATCAGTTAATCAGTAAAGAAACCAATTTGGTCTTCTCTACCTCAAATATTTTGCTTACATGCCACGGGGTGGAGTTTACGTGCTGTTTGAATTTCTGTTCATTAAAGTTCTTCATAAACTGAAAGTTTATGATCCTTACACCACATGCAATGACCTTTTCTTACATAAATCTGTAAATCATGAGTGGGTGGTCACTCAGATCAGGGTCATAAATACCACTGTGAATAAACATATCAGGGTGATTTGTCAAGATAACATCAACTAATGTTCTGGTCGTTCGTCCCCCTCGTGTCTGAATTCATGATGACTGTGTTATCAGGCATTCCATTCCATGCATTTCTTCTATATCAATTAATAATCTCCCCTCAGCTTTATCAGGTCAAAGTTTGTCAAAATCTCCTATCAACACAACTATCTGTCCCTGAAGGGAAAGCCAGTTACACATGTGATTAAGCTCGTCTTTTAGCTGTTGCTGATACACACCTGCAAGTGATTTGGGTGGTCTCTGCAAGCCAGCCACAATCACATTCTTTGTTCCAAGCACAATTTTCAATAACACTGGTTCGAGAGTCTTGTAGTTGTAGGTTTGCAGTCATTTACAGGTGATATCTATTCCTCCTCCCCCTTTCTTTCTGTCATTTCGGTACAACACTTATCCTAGTATAGAGAATTGACTATCAGGGTATGATGAATCTATCTTTGTTTCACCAATGATTCCTAATTTCTTGATGACATCACTGATTTCTTAAAATTTGTTTTGTATACTGTTGATGTTAATATGTCCCATCAGCAATTGTTTAGAAAATGTGGATCTCGCATTTCTGAAATTTACTAAATCTCTCAGTAAGTCAGCACCAGTGTCATCAATGAATACTTGTGTATCAGTCTGATTGACAGCAAACATTTCTTCAAAAGTGGCAATATTGATTTCATGGAACAGGAGTTCCATTAGCAAAGGCTTAAAAACACAATCCATACATGACCATGTGGTTGTGGACAACTGCTGTATCCTTCTGTATTCATTGGTTTTGATGTTTGCACATTTGATATGAAGTTTCCCTTTGCATGAGTCACAACAAACAGCACAATGGCTGTGAGCGATCGTTCTAGAGCAAACATTGCACTTTTCTGGTTTCGGGTTCGGTGAAATATCACCACTCACTACAAGATGTGTTAACTGAATTGTTGAGTTTGAGTTGGGATATCTTTGTATCCTGGCTACAAGATATTTACATGGATTCCTCTTTGTTAAGCATAAGTATCCAAAATGGTGGACCAAGATTGTTAGAGAATGATCACTTGCATGGTACAATTAAGCATCATAGGTGTTGACTGAGACCTTATCAACATTGAGATTGAAGCAGAAACCAAAATGAAGGTTGTTTGAGTGCCTCATCGATCGATTAACAAAACAAAATGTATGTAAAAGTAAAGCCAAGATGGAGAAGGGTGAAACATGACCAGCCACCATAACTACCGCTGACCTGACATTTATCTCACTATCTGATGGATTTGAGGTTGACAGAACATTCTGTGTAATGGTTAGACCATGGTATCTCTGAATCTGCTTTATTTATCTGTCTGAGGTGGCCACGCCCTCCAACTGGCTTTATCATGTGAAAAACGCTTGCCTCGATATACAAAAAAAGAGGAAAGCAAAAAATAAATGATTGAATTACTAAAGTAATTAAGAGTAGAGCAAACATTGCCAAAAAATAAATCAACAACCATGTACTTGCTGTGTTATATACACAGTCAAACAGAAACTGTACAACAAAGTTGAAACATTTTTCAGAGAACCATTCAGAACAATTGAAGTTGACCACATCTTAAATAATAGAGATAGTTGAGGAAAAATAGTTTAGATCTACTCACTTATATCCTTGTCCTTTAAAACCCTTTCTTCATCTGAGCTTTCTGATCAAGAGTCTGATAAAGCCAGTTTGGATCTAGACTCGCTGATTGGTTGATCAATGTCAGATTCAAAGAAAGATGACCTTATTGATGCACCAGGTGTTGCATAATCATAGTAATAATGATAATAATAGTAATGATAGTTGTTATTTGTACTAATTGACCAAAAGCACCCATCAAAGTTGTTAACACATATGTAAATTACATTATAAGTTTAATATTTGTTAATTTAGGAACAAATCTGAGGTGTTTGAAAGCTAAAAGGAATGACTTAATGAAAAGGTGTTAGCTTTACTATTAAAGGAACTTAGGCATGCTGCACTTCTTATTTGGTCCGGTAAATTGTCCCAGAGTAGGGGAGCAATGACTGAAAAAGAACAATTTTCATAGGAGTCAAGATTATCCTCACGGACCACTAACAATTCCTTGTTGGTGGAGTGGAGTGTCCAAGGTGTATTATTAATTAAAGAGTCTGCATCAACAACTTTTCTCACAGGGAATGTTTCTCTAGTTTGCCTGTCTTTTCTTTGTATAATGGTTTAGGACTTTTTGCTGGTCATCTCAGAGGACAATTGCTACCACAAGAGAAAAGTCTTGGCAAGTTAGTTGTCAGGTTGATTGTAGCTTGCTAGATATCTATCTCATGAGCTCCCTATCAAGACATGGGCCTCACATAAAATTATGCAAACTGTATTTTGATATTTCTGCTGTACAGTGCCTGATACATAGAAGTAGAGCATGATATGTATGGAGATAAAGAAGAGACTATACTTTCATCCCTACTAGCCTGTTTTGTGATTACTTACTCATCAGGGGATTTTATTGTTAAGAATATTCATAACCATCATTTATATAATTTATAAACTTGCATAAAGGTGTGGTGGTAAATTTCAATGCTTTGTTCAATTGTTATGCAGTAATGCTTTGTTTCTGTGGTAGCATGAGGACATGAGTTCATTACCTTTGTTAAGCAATGATAATTCAGGTTGGTGGATGATAAGTAATTTTTCTTTGAGGTAGAGGTTGTGTCTTTTGCTTGTGCTGCCTAGGGTGATATTGATGAAAGGATGTGCCATAAAATAAAGTGGTCAATGTTATTTTCTTTAAGGGTCCAGATATGTTTGCTGAGTTCAGTAGAATTTCTGTGTTTTGTGTGTCAGAATGGTGAGGTGTGGTTTCTGTATCTAGTCTTGAAGTCGTTTTCAGTAAGTCCCATGTATGTTTCAGTGGTGTTGTTGTCCTTTCGTGTGATGGAGGCTTGGTAGATTAGTGATGACTGGAGGCAGTTTCTGTTAGGTGGGCATGTGTTCTGTTTGCAGCTGCAGGTTTTGGTGTCTTTTGTGTTGGTGGTATCTGCAGTGTCGTCAATGTGTTTGGATGAATTTAAAATGCATTTGTTGCAGTTGGCGATGGTCTGTTTAGTGGTCATGCAGCTGTAACAGATTTTGATAGTGTCACAATTAAAGATTTTTCTAATTTTGTGGTCTTTTGGGAAGGGCTTGTCTACTAGGGCAAGGAATCTGTGTTCAATAGTTGTGCTGACATTTTTGCATAAACAAAATGAACTTGTGTCCTCATGTCACCACAGAAACAAAGTGTTATGGTGTAACAGTTGAACAAAGCATTGAAATTTATCACAATGCATGTTATGCAGATTTGCGTAATAGGCGTGGATATGCGTATTATATATTTTATATATATATATTTATAATTCTTGTGGTTTATTCTGGAATTTACGGGAATTAAAGAAATCTAGGGAATGAAAAGATGGCAGAACAAAAGAAAAATGCTCTTTGCATTAAAACAATGTTGTTTATTTTACCGTAGTTTGAAAAAAAACATTAAACGCTAACAAGTGGTCTTAAACCCAATTGAGGGGGTGACCTGAATAGTTAAGGCAAAGTATGCCTCTTTAAAGAAAGTGTTTGAATTTGAAAGGAAAATGTTTGTTATATGAGGGCTCAAGGCTGTTCATAGCATTATACAACTGTGTGGCATTGCATACTAGCAGCTGTTTCTTAAAATAGGACAAACCTAGTGCCTGGAGACCCGAGGAGATGTGTTGAACTTCTTAGTATTGGTCAGCATGGGAGTGGCAAAGTTTTGTACAAGATGCTACTTATGTAGGTCATCCATGTACAATTATATCATTACCCATTACAAATTAGAAAGTTGGAAATTGATAAAAGCTAAAATTACAGTAGAAAATATCAAAATATAGTCTGGAATATCTCTACAAAGACAAATCTAACCCCTTGGTATGACTTAATCTTCATCACAGACATGTAAATATCAAGATATCAAAACCAATAAAAAGAATTCTTTGGTAGAATAAAAATAGTTAAACGAATCAATTTAAAATCATTTTACATAGCCCTGACACTGTTTTTCTTTAAGCATTGGTGTCTAATTTTCATTAACTTTGTTTATCATCACTGCAACTATATTCTTCTATTAAGTCTCCAAGGGGCATATGCATGACTGACAATGTATGACACAGAGCATCTAGTTCTCTTTGTTCACTTTTACAACGGTTTTTTCACTTTGTTATTTTAATATACTATCTTTCATAGATAGCCGCCTAAATTGCATATGAAGCAAATTTTTTTTCATTTTTCTTGCTGGTAGTGGTATTTAAGGCTTGAAATTATTGGTCTCAGTTGCTGGTGACTCAGTGACCATTTTTTTACATGTAATGAAAGTGTTGTACTTTGTACACTGTCATACATTACAAATTTAAAATACAAAATACTTAGAACACTGAGAAAAAGTTCAAATGAAGAGCCAGGAAGATAAATAGCTGCTAAGTTTGGATTGGGATTTTTTGACAGGGCAACATGATTGGTCAGTATACGGGGGTACCATGCTCAGAAAAACAAGCTTTGTTTTTCATTAAAACTTTTCCATTTCTGCGTGCGTGGATGCTGGCACTTCTGGTTTCAGAGTGGGACTTTCAGTTTCAAGCTCCCTCATCGAGATTATCTATTGTTTCATCAAGGTCAGCATTCATTTTCTTAGCAATTGTTTGTTTCCAGAGTTATTGCACGCTCAATATTTACATAAATTTGTTGGGAGCATATCTGGTGTTGTATCCATGAATACTGCTTGCATTATTGTAATGATTTTGGATTAGATCCACTTAAGTAGGCCTTTGTGCCACAGATGCAAAAACTTTGAAGCATTGTGTTGATCAATGCACATTATTTATTGTCAGAATGTCTAGAATATTGAGCAGATAGATGGTGCTATCTGTCTGGCTATGCAATTTACCAATAACAGTGAGGGAAAACTTCCTCATATTTGTTCTAATAATTGCTGAAGAAATGCACAGGTGAATTGCATCTTCTCCTCTTTGTTAACCAGTGTTAGTTCACTTGGGATTCAGATTGACAGAGTATTTCAAGGTTAATCACAATTCTCTTGAGGGAAATAGTAAGTGAGTTGGCACAACTCTTGCATCTCCAGCATCTGATTAAGTCATGTAAAATAACATCTTTCTTTTGTTGTAATGTGAACCTCTAAATACCTGGGTAGTAACTGAGTTGATAAAGGATTATGATAAGACAGTATTGAAAGAAAAAATGGAAATTTTGCAAATCCTGAAAGGTTTCCCTCAAACTAACAGAACTCCTATCAAAGGTCTTTCTTTAAGTAAATAGGGATTGAAATAAAATATTCTGAT